AATGCTCACATAAAAGAGGATTGGCGTAATTCGCGTCTTTGAGTGTGACGTAGGAAGAATCCTGAAAAGTTTTTTTTATTTAGAATTCATTGTCCTGTATGACGAATACAGATTTTAGTCATTTTAGAATGAAGACATTATGGCATGCAGTACAATAGTTTAACGTGCATAAAGACACCTGAAGATGGCTCATTAGTGCTGAAACATGTAGTGTGGAAGTGAAGAATAAGGTGAAAAAGTGTATACACTGTAAGACAGCATAAACCATGGACATGAATCAGTGTAACAGGACGCTAAAATATAACATTGCCAACATCATTACTCACCACTCCATCCACTTTAATATTATTCTCCAGTTCCCTATTAATCTGCAAAGCAGTATTATGTAAATATAATCCAACATTCATATTCTACCAGGACATGCATGCTGATGTATAAAATGTCAGGTAATTAATTTGAAATATAATACTGTATTTGGATATCATCAATAGAATATTTAGAGACATTAGTTATAAAACCCATATGTGCTGTTTCTTCTTCCAGGCCACAGAATTAATAAACAATGAACTTCCTGGGGATACAACTACTTCCCAGGTTACAATTGTTATTACAGATATTGATGACCAAATTCCAGTATTTAATGAGAATAATTTTCACATCAACGTTTCAGAAGATATAGGTAAGTAAGGATATTAATATATGTAAATTACAATTTCTTTGTGGTGCATAAACCTTCTTTCCAGTATTAGTTGCAGGTATCGGTACTGTATATTAAATAAGATATTCAGGGAAGATTCACTTCCCTTGAAATGATTTAGTCTGTATAGTGAATCTGGTAAGAACTATAAAATAATAATTATACTAATTACTGGTTAATTTCTGTGTATTATTTCTGCTAGTACAATTTCTGACAATATTAATTTGTCAGCTGTAACCTCAGAGTCTCACACTGTCACAATGATTGTAATTGTTCACTTCTGAACAACGTTTTATACAGAATATGCATTATGTTTAAAGCTTATTACTAGGGGTTCAGATTAATGAGGATGTAGTATCAAATATAATGTTAAATTTAATTACTCCCAAGCCAATAATCTCAGTCTTAAATGCCCTCCATCTAAGATTTCCTCACTTTAGCCTCCAGACTCATTGCTCCTTAAAGAAACCTTGAATGGTACATTCACTGTATAATGAAAAAACTTTAAAGTTCGAGATTCTTTACATTTATAGGAGCTGACACACCTTTACCAGGCTTGAATATGGTTGTTAATGACCGTGATGTTGGAGAAAATGCTCGTTATAATTTACGCATTCGTGATGTTCACAACTCAGCTGGAACATTTACAGTACATCCAACAACTGCCACTGGACGTACTCCAGTTGTAATAAGAGTTGCAAATGTTGAAGGGTTAGACTATGATGTGTCAGATCCTTCTCTTAGGAGAATTGTATTTGATGTTATGGCACTGGTTAAGGGGAAGCAGGTATGTAAAAAAAAAAAGTTGTGAAATTATGCTGATACAATTAATCTTTTGAATTCAAAGTTTATTCATATTTGTCATGGCTTAAAGTCAAACTTCAGGTAAATTAACATAAAATGTAAAGATAAAAAGTAAGGTGTTGATGGTAGAGAAAGAAACAGTTACTAAAGTAAGCCCCAAATATTGATACATATAATCAGAACTCTTGTCCATACAATAACATTTTAGAGGATGTGAATATGTCTTTGAAATTTCAGATGTTTTAGAGTAAAAATTGGTTTGTATTTTGTTGCTCCTAACCTATATAAAGAGATACAAGCTTATTTTTTAATCTTGTCTTTTAATTTTGCTTCTGTTAAAGTTCTTTTTATCTATTTGATTTTTTTCGATTTTAACAGATGAAACAAGTCTGAATGAGTCCTTTATTCAAAATTGGATATTACTTTATATTAAATGTTACCCTTTAATATCAGTCTTTGAATTCTAGTATGAAAAATTATGCTCTCATACATAGTTACCTCTGAATCTTATTCATTAGACTGTCATACCTTCATAGGTAAGAATCATTTCAAAAGTTAAAGGAGTAGAAGTTCATATCCTTAGTAATATATACTTTACAAATTTTTAATACATGTTCAGTGAAGAAATTCTTGTAAATGTGTTTTTTCCTTCATCTTCTCATGGCTACTCCTATAAGGCTGTTTTTTCATCAGCCTTTCATTCACATTTCATGCATCTTCTTCTTTTCCCCACTGTCACATCACTGCCTTTATTGACCATTACCAATCAAAGACCATGAAACACTCAGATTGGTAGATAAAATTTAAGATTTTATGTGTACAGTAGGCTTATTTAACAGCAAAATATAGCAGACAACTTTTATTTTAGTTGTACTGAAACAAAATATTATTAGAGAATAAATTTGAGGTTATGTGAAAACATTGGCAAAAGGTATTACGTGGAAGCATGTGGAAGTTAAAGCTTTATTTTATTATATAAAATAGTCTTGGGTATGGCAAAGAGAGAAGTATCTGAATGTTAATATTTGTGCTGACAAATCATTGCAATACAATGCCACTGGCTGAAGCTATGCAGGTTTTGCTAAGGTGCTTCAAGTACATGGTCACCATATTAAACATTTTACTGCCTTAGGTTTTTGTAATCTGTGTCTAATGTATTACTTTGACTTTTATGGGTCTTAACTGCATTATATGTTGAAACTCTTTTTACATTTTAGAATATATTGCAGCTACCATCTTCAAGGAGCTGGAGGCATGTGTAAACACATGTAAGACTACAGAGTGGATAATTTTCAGTCCAGTGTGACATACAAGTTTACAACACTTCAGTCTCTGTTCTACTGTTGTAAACTTGTATGTCACACTGGACTGAAAATTATCCATTCTGTAATTAACAGTATGATGGACCAAAATGAGACAAATCAAACATGTAAGACTACATTGTATCATAACCGAAAAGACCATAATCTATAACTTTACTACTACAGATTTAATACAAGAAAAATGTCTATTGTTTCTGTTGCAGGATTTAGATATTGCGGTGGCAAGTTCTCAAGTAATTGTTGATTTAGTTGATGCCAATGATAACTCCCCTGTCTTCCCTCATTCTGCATATCGTCTTCGTGTTTTGGAGAATATTCGTCCAGGGTCCTTAATTTCTAACATCACTGCAAAAGATATAGATAGTAAAGAGTTTGGTAGCATAACGTATTTGATCAAAGGCTTTGGAGCTGAAAAGTTTTTTACACAGTCAAAAGAAGGAGGTTTATATGTGGCTAAATCTTCTCCAGGTAGGTGAAATGTATCCTTTTATCAAGGGCACATGTGCTTCTACATTACTAACTTTCTTCTTCTTCTTCTTCTTCTATGGCGCAACAGCCTGATGTTGGGCCTTGGCCTCCCTTATCAAGCCCCTCCATTCCTCTCTATCCTTTGCTACTCTCTTCCAATTCCTTACACCCATTTACTTCTTCGCATCTTCTTCCACCGCATCAATCCATCTAGTTCTTGGTTTCCCAGCACGTCTCCTACCACCTATTGTACTGTATAATATTTTCTTTGGTATAATCTCCTTATCCATTCTCTGTACATGCCCATCCCATTGCAATCTTTTTAGCTTTATTGTCACTGAGATCTCTGGCTCCTTATATTATTTGTATAACTCTTTATTATATCTTATTCTCCATATCCCATTCTCTTTTGTTGGTCCATAAATTCATCTTAGGATTTTCCTCTCAAATGAATTGATGACTGATTCCTCTTTCTTGTTTAGCATCCAACCCTCACATCCATAATAAAGCACTGGTCTTATCATTGTTTTATATATTTTTGTTTTAATCACTTGGTGTATATCCTTTGATCTAAAAACTGATAGTAATGAGAAATATGCATTATTCGCTAGTTTTATTCTTCTTGTTATTTAATGATTTTCCTCTCCATCTTTGTGGAATTTCGATCCTAAATATATATATTTCTATCCCGTCCCCTTCCGTGTAATTTCTCCAGTTTGCCTTGGATTCCTTCTGGATTGTATCAGCATTTTAGTTTTATTTACATTCACCTATAAGCCAGTTGCTTTTGCTATGGTTTTTATTTCTTTATATGTCTCCTTCATTGCTCTTAGTGATCTCGATACTATAATAATATCATCTGCATACGCCAATATTTGCATTTGTTTATACGCTCTTGTGTTCCTTGTGTCTACATTACATTTCCTCACTATATATTCCAATACCAAATTAAATAGTGATGGTGCCAAACTGTCTCCCTGGTTTAATCCTTGATTTGTCTTAAAGCATTCTGTTAGCTGGTTCTGGATTTTAACTTGATTGATTGTTTCTGTCATAGTTAAGTTAATTATTCTAGTTAGTTTTGTTGGAATACCAAAGTGGACATAATCATCCTTAATTTCTTCCTTATTATTGTATCACATGCTTGTTTAAAATCTATGAAGCATAGGTAAATATCTGTATTAATTCCCAGCATTTCTCCATTATTTGTCTCAGGGTGAATGTATTGTCTGTTGACCTATTGGGTCAAAATCCTGATTGATATTCTCTTATTATTTTTTCTATATATGGATCCAGTCTCTTTTTTAGTATCCTTGTTAAAATTTTATATGCTGTCGGTAGTAATGATATACCTCTATAGTTACTACGTGTTAATTTATCCCCTTTTTTAAATATGAGACATATAATGTTCTTTCCCCAATCTTCTTGTATCTTTTCTTCTTCCCACACTTTATTTATAATTCTGTGGAGTGCTATTATTCTTTCTTGTCCTCCTGCCTTCAATAATTCTGCTGGTATGTTATCTCCTCCTGGCGCTTTATTTAGTTTTTGTTCTTTTAATGCTTCTTCCACTTATTCCTTTATTGGAGGCTCTATTATCTCTTCCTCTTCCCCTTCTCCATCGTCTGTATTTTCTTCTTCATTGTCCTCGTTATCTTCCATATTCTGATTTTGATTTAATAATTGTTCAAAATATTCTTTCCATGTATTCATAATCTCTGTTTTATTATTTATTAGAAGCCCTTTTTTGTCTCAGATAAATTCTGTTTTTGGTTTGAAACCTTCTTTCATATATTTGATTCGACCAAAGGCATTTTTTGTTTTGTTATTTTTGAAGTCTTCTTCCATTTGCAGTAATTGCTCATTTAGAAAGGCCCGTTTCTTTTTCCTACAAATCTTGTCTGCTTTCCTTCCTACTTCTTTATATGCCTCATTTCTTGCTCTTGTTGGTCTTTCCATATATTCCATATATTTCTTATTCTTGAGGTTTATACTCTTCCTACATTCCTTGTCGAACCATTCTCTATTATTCTGTTTTTCTTGATATCCCAGAGTCCTCTCGGCTTCTGTAATTATTGTGGTTTTAAAATCTACCCATACCCCTTTTACCGTTACTTCTTAATTGCTCTATTGTCATTAATTTCTTTAATTTTGTTTTGAAATGCTTCTCTCTTATCACTCTCTGTGATCTTGTCAATATTAAATTTCTTACATTTCTCATACTGCTTAGATCTTTGACAACTTATTTTACATCTATATTTAACCTGTACTAAGTAATGATCACTATCACAGTTGGCCCCTCTTAATGTTCTTACATCCAGATATTCATCGCAAATCGCTTCTCTATGAGGACATGATCTATTTGATTGAAGGTTACCCCATCTGGTGCTGCCCATGTCCTTTTATGTATATTTCTGTGTGGGAAGTATGTAGAGCTGATGATCAAGTTCTTACTTTCTGCAAAATCTATTAATTTTATTCCATTATGGTTGGTTGTATCATGTAAACTTTCTGTCCCAATTACCCCTCTGTATTCCTTCTCTTTACCTATTTTGGCGTTAAGATCCCATAAAATAACCTTTATGTCATTACTTGGTACTGAATCATATATCTCTTCCATTTATTGATATAAATAAACTTTGAGCTCCTCTTCTTTTTCTTCTATAGGTGGGTGCACATTCATCAACGTCATATTGAAAAATTTCATTCTAATTCTCAAAGTGAAAATTCTTTACCAATGTAACATACAGTATGTTTCTTAAGTCCATGATTCCTTTACCCAGCCATCTAATTTCCTGTATGGCTGTGATTTTCATATTGTACTTATCTATCTGTTCTAGTACCGATTTCATGGCACCTGGTTTATTGAGGGTTTTCACATTCCATATACCTAGAGAGTAGTCCATATTCTTTGCCAATTGTCGTCTTCTATTCTGTTGAGGTTTGAGGCTTGATTCCAGGTTTCAAGACATTTATATTTTTTTTTTAAGTGAGAGGTCATCAGCCTCTCGCCCAACCCCCAACCTGGAGGACCAAAGTATCCCTTTTTAGTCTGGGTCATCCCCTTTGACCTGTCCATCATGGGTGGCCCTACCAGTAGCTATGCTACCGCCGACATAGCTCTCAGGGTCATTTGACCACGCAAGCCCCTCCACTATGTCAAAGTAGAGACACCATCGGGGGGACATGACTAACATAGAAGTAGCTAATTTCTTTAATGAAGCCTTCATTTCTGGCCAATTATCAGGCCTGAATATTTAGATGGAAGTTTCCAGTCCACTAAAAGTTAAAATAATTCACATTGTTATCTTGCTTGCACCAGTGTTAATCCACACTTGAGTGTGATGATGTGGAAAAGTTTATATCTTCATTTTAGTTCCAAATGAAATTTTAATCAGATGTTTCAAATGAAAAACCAAGGATCCCTGGATACTGTTACATTACTCGAAAGACTCCTGGCTTCTTTATTGGGATCTTTGTACAGTGGAACCTTGCTTAATGAGCATAATTCATTCCAGAATCTTACTTGTAATGTGAAACACTCGTTAAGCGAAACAATTTTTCGCATATAAATTAATGTAAAACAGGATAATGCGTTCCATGCCGAAAAAAATGCTCAAAAAATTTTATGTATAACGTTTATTCAAAGAAAATTATATTGTTACATATACATTGTTAAGGAACATGAATCATCATCTTTTCTTCTATGCAGAATGAACCAACCTGGAATGCGAATTTGATTTGCAGAAGACAAAAAAAATAATTAGTTTATTATTTATGATACATATCTAATTATTTTTTACTAGAAAGCTGTCTAGAGACATTTGTTTTTGCCGATGCATCAAAATTTGGTGAAAATGCGACACAGCATTATCATTAAATAAATTTGTAGCGCACATAGCCACTGCCTTATTAGGGTGATGCTTCTCAATGTAGGATGCAACAGTTTCCCATGATTTCAGCATTTCTCTTATTGCGCCAGATGATTGTTGCTTTGCGGTTACCTCCTCCTCCTCCTCTGACAAACTCTTCTCCACAACTTCTTACTGTGAAACACAATGCAACTCCAAATCATGCAAATTGATGATGTAGACCGACTGTATGTGTGCGCTAGATCAGCCACACTCACACCTCGTTCTCGCTTTTCAATGATTTTACGTTTCATTTCTACGGTTATTTTTATTCTCTTATGGCTGTCTTTTTGCAGCTTTTTCTTCGGGGACATTTTTGCAAGGGTTATTAAACTTTGCACAAAATATTACAAATAATATGTCTGAACACAAGTTTGGAAAAATGTATGGTCACAAGCGACACTAAGATACTAGTGGAACAAGTGCTAAACACAGACTGATGTAGCAAGTGCACAATCCAGGACTTCCTTTCTCATCACTATTATGTGAAATGTCGCTCGTTAAGCGAGTCGTTTTTTTACAATTTGTTTTGCTCGTTATGTAAATTACTCATTATGAGAGGTGCTTGTTAAGCGAGGTTCCACTGTATTTCCAACTAAGATTACATTGCAAAAGCTGTAGCATTTACATCGAATATGTCTCATTTAGCTACTCTGTTTATTCATACAGCCTGTATCATATCTGTGGAAAATCATTTCAGCACCCTCTGTTTTATTTTTGTATTTGTTGTGGTTTCATTAACATGTTCATTTTCTCGTCTCCCAGGATTGATTCAATTTTTTAAAGGTTGATATATAAAAATTCTCCAGTCTCTTCTTCCTTCCCACAGTCATTCTTTCTCTGTTTCTTGCTGGGTCTTCATGCGCTATTCCAATATCTTACTGATAGTTTTTTTCTGGGTGAGCCTATCCAACTTTTTTCTTCAAAATACCCTTCTGGTATCCTTATTCTCTCCATTTTCTATTCCAGCTTCGTTAATAAATTGTGTCCCTTTATTACAGGTTTAGATTATGAAACACAAAAGTCATATTCACTTACATTTGAGGCCCGTGATGGTGGAGGACGAGTGTCAACAGCAAATTTGTTTGTGGAAGTTGAGGATGTCAATGACAATGCTCCAGTCTTTGAGCAGAGGGAATACAGCCGCACAGTGAGGGAAGGGGCAACAAGCTTCCAACCACAACTTTTTGTTCGGGTGAGTGTGGAATTTAAACACTGATAAAGTTAAAGGTTCATGATGTGTTTTCAAACTGACATTTTCCATGAACAAATGTTTTTATCAATCACAACACAACAACTCTCAATAGTCTCTTTCACATTCAGTGTATATGATGAGTTTATTGTTCTTAGTGGTACAACTTGCTACATGTTTCAGCTCATACATTAACACAGCAGGATGCACTCCTTGAAGATTATAAATGAAATTTTCCATTGTCTCTTTCCAGTTTAAAGATGTGCTACAAGTATACGTGAGGAAAACTAGACTCATGAATGAAAATATTCTGTTATCTGCCAATACTAAAATTTTTGATCATATTTATAGCTATACTAATTTCAGATATATGATTTTTCAAAAGTGTTACCTACTTTGGAAATACCCTGCATTTTTATACTGAGATATGTATCAGAACCATTGTACATGAATGCATTTGGATGGAGATCTAGGGAGGATGATGATCTTCTGCTAATATTAATGTTGTATTACTCCTGGAGGAATATTGTAAACATTATGGCACATACAAAGGCAAAAATAAAGTGTCTAATGTGAATATTTAAGTTTTATCACTTGAAGATTTATCTCCCTTACATGTTTCAATCCTCACGGATCATCCTCACAGGGTATCAATACTTTTGGAAACTACTATTACAATAGATGTTAATTGTATGGGTACACATATGATGTCTAAAATGTACAATATCATTGTAAACTGCTTGGAGGCCCGTGGTATAGATGCAGTATTATTTGACATTAATTGTTTGGCCAGTGCCTCATCTTACAATTTATTTTGTCCATTCTGTTGGTGATACAGATTGCAACTCTGCAGTTGCTATGTGTATACAAGTCCTGAATATACCATTATGCCCGCGGGAATATAACAAGATTGCAGCAACTGACTTCATGATATGCAATATCACATGAAGAGTTTTTAACCATATTTTACTCCGTAACTTTCATTTTATATTAAGTTTATAATTCTTTGTACTTTTATACCATGTATTTTAGAATGTAATAGTTATCAAGTATCCAGCTTTACTATCACAATGAAATTGGAGTTCAATAGTGTGTGAATATAGTAATCATGTGTTTTGCCTGATGGTGGCTTTAAAAGCCGAAACATGTAGCTAAGGTAATTTTAACCTTGACCCTTATGCTGTTCTGTTGCGATGGACTCCAATACAGAATTGTATATAATAACACAATAGAATGCACAAAATGAAAATTAGAGAAAACCTAACCTGGTGATCAGATTTTTCACTAATATATATAAAGACATATTTCAGTAGTTACTAGAGACATATAATATCTGAACATGTATGATTTGAGGTTCTCACAGTGGTTGTTATGAAAAGTACTATCTTCTGGGATATAGCACTGTGTAGTCCACTGAAAGTTAACCGACATTTTGGAGGAACACACAGTTTCATCCTGCTGTCTTGGTTGGCTTATTCGAACTTTAAGATGAAGGCGATGTGTTCCCCTGAAACAACGGCTGAATTTCAGTGGATTACATAGTGTTATATCCCAGAAGAAACTCTTCAGAATATCTAAGTTGATAAATGAGTCCACACAGAGCATCTTTTTCAGCCAGTATGCATACCAGCAAACTCATAAAAATACAAAATTGGTGCATTGTGTGTTTCAAACTTGAGGCTAAATCCAAAGACTAGGGTACTAGCAGATGTGTTTTTAGAAATAATCACTGACTTCATGTAATAATAAGTTGTGGTGGAAAATGATGCATTGTACTTCTTTGGAATTGCAGGCAACAGATGCAGATGGTCCAGATCAAGGTGGAGGCAAAATATTTTACAGTATCCAGACATCTAATGTTGATAGTGATATATTCTTTGTGGAGCCAGTCAGCGGAGAAGTTAAAATGAATGTTCCAGTTAACTCAGCTGACACACCACATGGCCAGTATGAACTTGTGATCAGAGCTACAGATGCAGGTGAATGATACACATTTTTTGCAGATTTTCTTCTGGTGACTGGGTTAAAAACCTTATTTCAAAAGTATGTTTCTAATACATCAGAATTGTAAATACATGTAAATTTTAATTTGTAATTGGTTTTACATTGAAAACAGCAGCACTGTATTTGTTTCTTAAATTCTTGTTGGTTGCTTGCTTGGTTTACAATTTTACATTGAAGATGGAAGGAATATGTTCTTCTGAAATATCAGTGAAATTTTACTGGAGTTGTATGGCATTACATCCCAGAGATTAATAATTTTTTATTGTTGATCTGTTTCACATTCACTTTATTTCTTCAGCCAGTTCTGTTTATTTATTAACTTTGTTTGGATCTGTAATTTGCAGATAATGTTTATAATTATGATTACTGTTAATGCTGTTGACAGTATTATAATTATTGCTATCACCAATATTATTATTCATGCAGGCAAGCCCCCTCTTCATGAAGACACTCGAGTGCTGATTCGTGTGGGAGTACCAGGCAACCAAAGACCAATATTTCGTGGTAACAGAAATGTTGGAAATGGTCCATCAGGTTATGCAGCTACAGTTGCAGAGAATGCAGAACCAGGAACTGAAGTTGTGCAAGTCATAGCCACGGACCCTGATGGTCAAGACTCACTTCTCAATTATTTTATAGCTGGAGGTGCTAGGGACAATTTTGTCATCAACCAAAGGTCTGATTTTCCTTGATTAAATTTAGAATAGTAGTATCCTTGCATTCTTTATGGAGATCTATCCATAATTACAATGATCTGTTGGTGTCAGAGTATATGTTGAAGATTTCTCTCTTCTTGTATGTGGTACAGCATAGTTTTGCAGAGAGGAAACATTTTGGAGGAACCTTCTGCCCCAGAATGTAATGTAGAAGAGACAAGACAATAATATTTATAATCATTACCGAGAGAACATACGAGGGGCGTTCAAATTCTAAGGTCTCCGATTTTTTTTCTCAGGACTGGGAGCAGATAGACACATGCGGTTTTGTTTAAAATACATGTGCACTCTTTGTGAATGCGTGACAGAGATGGCAGAACTCTACAGCACACAGAACTCTAGTGGTAGCGGCGAGTGTGAGGAGTGTTTTTGATTCTTAAAATGGCGACGTTTTCATTACAAGAACAACGAGTAATCATTCGTTTTCTCCACTTGCGTGGTGCGACACCGATTGAAATTCATCGCCAGTTGAGTGAGACGTGGTGATTGTGTCATGAATGTGAAAAATGTGCGTTCGTGGGTGTGACAGTTCAAAGAAGGCCAAACGTCGTGTGACAACGAACCAAAACAATCTCGGCCTCGCACCAGCCAGTCTGACAACATGGTCGAGCGACTTGAGAAAGTTGTTTTGGAGGATCGCCGATTGAGTGTGGAAAACATCGCCCCCCAAAGTTGGCATTTCCGTGGGATCTATGCACAAAATCCTGCATGAAGACCTGCGAATGCGGAAAGTGTCCTCCAGGTGGGTTCCACGAATTTTGGCGGATGACCACAAGGCTGCACGCATGGCAATGATGAAGGCATGAATGGGACTTTCTTTTCATCATCTGTGACAATGGATGAGACATGGATGCCGTTTTTCAATCCACTATTGCATCAGCAATTTTCCAGTGGTCAAAACAGACTCCTACAGAAGCGTTCGCAGCAGCCATGGAATCATGGCGTCGATGTTGTGAAAAATGTGTACGGCTGCAGGGAGATTACGTTGAAAAGTGACAGAAGTTTCAAATTTTTTGTATGATTATTGTGTGAGAAAAAAATCGGAGACCTTAGAACTTGAACGCACAGTGTAAAATATCACAAAATATACATTATTAGAGATCTCAAATGTCAGTTAATATTCCTGTTAAATTCTAAATTTTTAAGCAGTAAATGATGCATCCAAGATTTCTTTGTTTTTAATTCTATGTAGCATTGTAAATTTCAGTGAAATGTAGTAAGTAAACTTCTTTAAAAACATATTGGACTATAGCTGAAAAATACTAAGCTATTCACTGTCAGCCATGCCACCTGGAATTGAATTTCACTGCCTGCTAATCCTGTCAAGGGATGGGTTGTTGACACTGTGCAGAAATCTAATTCTCTTATAAATATTTATTTTAATTTTTGCATCCTTTACTTTATTTTTGTCCCCACAATTCCTGTATCTCTATCCTTCTACATACGTCACTCACATGTAGCTTTTCAGAGCTTTGAAAATATCAAAACATAAAACCATTGCCAGTTGTTTTTCATTTGTTGTCCTTCAGTTCTGCTTCAAATGTAGTAAGTTTAAAGCAAAGTTTCTGGAGGAAAATGGCTAGCCCAGCAGTTAAAGTCCCAGTATGGGGACATGGCAGTGAATTGGTTAAAATTATACGTGTCTAAGCAAACAGTGTGTTTTCTTGCTGTTCAGATCTGGTCAGATCAGAGTCTCACCCGATGCTCGTCTTGACCTCGAAACTGGAGGTTCACATTATGATATAATTGTCCATGCTGTTGATTCTGGTGTACCAATAAGAGAGACAGCCACTGCTACTGTTGCAGTGCAGATAATGGATGTGAACAATAAACCTCCTGTCTTCCCTACAAACGATGCTTCAGCTTTTGTTCGCTATATATCAGAGAGAGTACCAGTTGGTGAGTAATTCAGAAAGAATCAAGGTGGCCAACCTAACCTTACAAGTGACAAGTACTGGAAGTTTTGGCCATTATCAACATCTTTGTATACGTTAGCATGTGGCATCTATCAGCATTTAATCTGAGTTATGCAGTCCAAAACATTTGGAAGCAACTTTTAACCCAAATTTGAAGTTGCATATTTTGTACATATATTGTTGGTGAATGTAAGAATAGCAAATTTAGCAACTTGAAATCACTGCTTGGCACTGCAGGAATTTCAGCTGGTGCTTTCAGGATTAAGTACACACATAAAGAAGGATGATTATGAAATAAATATGCATGCATAAACATGCAAAATCAATTTGTTAATGTTTCTGTATCATGGGATATTACTCTGTGAACTGGTATAGCATAGTTGGTATTGTAACTATGCTGAGGGCTGCAAGACTAGAATTGGGATTTAATTCCTGCCAAGGGAAAGATGGTTTTATTTTCACTCTATATCCAGTTTTGCTCAGGGACCCAGTGGATACTGGGGCACTTTCTGCAGGATTAAAATGGCTGGGTCATGATGCTGGCCACTTACCTCCTTCAGTACTAAAATTAAGAAAGCTTGCAGTTCCCCTGTTCATTTTTGAACTGTTGTGTTTAATTAAGTACAGGAAATATTACTCTGTGGAAGATGACTTCATCATTATCATCATTGTCATCATTGTGTTTTTGTATTTATAAATGCAAGTCAAACACAATACTTCTTGAGCCAGCTTGCATGGTGTAAGCCTGTCACTAGTCCCCTAATATGATATGTGGTTGTAACCGGAAGTTTTTCTGCATTTAATTGTAGTAAAAAGTGACTTTTAAAGCATAATAAATGCAGGTAACTTTTTGCATGCAACAGATGTGATCAATTCTCAATAATTTGTTGGCACATGTATTATGCCTATAAACAATTTATAGGCCTCTTTCTGTGATATATCGCATGTAATATATGCTTATAAATGAAAAGGGATTCTTGTTGCATAATCAAACATAAATATCTTCCCATTTTTGCACACAGGTGAACCTGTGCTGACGGTAACAGCGACAGATCCGGATTCAGATGCCAATCTGGAATACTCCATAGTAGAACCCATTCGAGCTGCAGACAGAACAGGAGTGGCTCTGAAATCCACCATTCCCTATAATTACAAAGAGACGTTCAAAATAAACTCAACCACAGGTGAAGTGTCTGTAGCGAAGCCACTAGATCACCAAGCAGCAGCAGTAATCATCATCACAGTTCAAGCCACTGATTTAAATGCAGTTGAACATATTGAAGAGCAATCTGCAAAAGCTGAAGTTACTGTTTATATTCAGGCATACAGCGACAACAATCCGGTGTTTCTAATGTCTACATGGACCCCAACAAACCCTGTCATAAAGGTGGCAGTAGTAGAAGAACAGCCAGTGGGAACAACCTTACTGACATTAACGGCGAAAGATCCTTTGAAAGGGAAGCTTATTACACAATTTGAGGAAGTTAAAAGTGCAAGACTGCAAGATGCCGAGGATTTTGTCAGAGTGGATCAATCAGGAATCATAATTCTAAATAAGAGACTGGATTATGAAAGCTTACAACAAAAGGTGAGTTTTTAATTTTTAAATTTTCTATGACTATGAAGAATGCTGTCTTCTGGGATGTGGCACTGTGTAGATCTTTGCGAATTGATGTTTTGGAGGAACATATCACCTCCATCTTCAGGGTAGAAATATCCACGAGTGAGGAAACAGCTTAAGCATGTGGCTGCAGACTGAGGTGATACATTTCTCCAAAATGTGAGTTCACACAAGATCTGCATGGTGCCACATCACAGAAAACAGCATTCTTCATAGTCACTGCCATGAAAACCTCAAATCTTAGGTAGGCCGCACACCAGCATGTGTCAAGACACAATGTCTGTGACATGATGCAAAGAAAGAGCACAGTTGAAACAAATGATAGTACGAAAACCGCCACATGCTGGTCTGAATCATGATGCAAACGTCGTGACTCAGACCGGTGTGTGGCGGTTTTCACAATCACACTCGTTTCAACTGTGCTCCTTTCTTTGCATCATGTTGCAGACATCATGTCTTGACTGTTACATGTCTTGACGCATGTCAGTGTGGGGGCCTACCTTACATTTTTATGATTGTTTTGCAAAAATCAGATCTATGACCAGGCAGATTTATTTTACATTATGACAAAGAGCTTTCCCACAGATGCTTGTGGTAAAATGGTTTCTAGCCAAACAAGAAGCAATAGAAGTACTACAAACTTTCACTTTTCTTGCCTCATGTGACACAGTGATGTTTGTGAAACAAAAAGTCTCACTAAATTAGTGTTGTATACTTGAAGGCATTCATAACAATATGGTGACAAAATGGAAGGCCTTTTGGAGAATTATTTCTAACAATGTTTTCATGCATTACTCAGAGACTGGATGGTGTTTATTAAATTAGAAGCCCAGAAGCTAGTCACACTTATTTTAGTGATTATGTACCTTCTTTTGTCTGATTGTTTATATTTTAAACCTCATATTTGTAGCTGAAGCCCATAAATAAGTAGGTAAATATCTGATACATTTTGAATTTAGTGTGGCCTAAATCATGGATAAAAATATTTTGAAATATCTTGTAACTAGACAAATATTTTCATTGCCAGAAAATAGCAGATAGTTTTCTTTTCTGGTGCCTTGTTTTAGTTGTCACCTGCAATTGGTATACATGATTAAGTTATGGAAGTCAAGCATGACATAAAGAAAGAGATTAGTAATTTTAACTCAATATTTATATTTATCCAAATCCTCATTTTATGTGGTTTGCCATTTCCTCTGAGCTACAAGTAACCGAGAACTCCAAAAGTAAACCCACGATTACCAGGTGAGAGTTTTTGGCCAAAATCTTTTGCTCACCATTGGCAACCATGTGACTGTATTTATCAACCCCTTGTCTATCTAAAAAGACTGACAATGCAATTAAAGCTCAGATTATCACATCAGAACAAACATTCATAAACAATTACAGTCTTTTTCCTACTATAATATCTTATTCTGAATATTACGCTATGAGTTAAATACATGAAAGTCAAATGTATTTCTTTATTTTTAATACATGCACATTTACTTTCAGTCATTGAGTTTCCAAGTTCGAGCTGTTTCTGATGATAAGAGCAGGACCACGGAAGCAACAGTGGTTATTCAAGTTGAAGACATAAATGACAATAGTCCACAATTTTCTCAAGAGGTATGAACAAATGAAAATTGAAGTGTTGTTTTAATTTGAGAACTTGTTTATTTTGCCTCTAATTATGTTTAGAAGTGTCTTTTAAATTAATTTTTTAAACTAAGAACAATTGACTCTCTTTTACATACATAATTCGTATAAATATTACAGTAATTTCATTGTAAGCACTACATAAGCTAATATCAGATAGTGTGGCTATAATACCAATAAATGAGTAATTCGGTTACTATGAATTGACTGGTCTTGATACAAAATCACCAGCAGGGAATTATAAATAATTTCTGGTTATTATTAATGTAGGGGTGTGCAGTAGCGTAGTTGGTTGAGGCACTATGCTACATGACAGTAGGTCTTGGGTTTGATTCCTGTTGAGGTCATTAGATTTTTCAATTGACATAATCCTTCCAGCTGCACTATGGCCCTGGGGTTGACTCAGCCTCTAAGAGAAATGAGTACAAGGAATCTTCCTGTGGGGTAAATGGCAGCTGGCGCATAAGGCTTACAAACTCACCACGTGCTGTGAGCTGATTGTCTAGAAAATGTGGGAGCCTCGATGTCTCACAATCCTACGGGCATCCATGGCCTGCTATCGTCATAGCTGATTCTTTGTTATTCATGTCTGAGTAAAAAACATCTTTGAGAATGTATCAAGTTGATCAGATGGTGATGTAGACTGTTATGCCATCATTAGAATTGTTCTAGATTTTATTTTAAATATATAATTGGAACCCAAATCACCATACGATAGATACTGTTGAACGCAAAAGATCATTCTTTAAGAAATTTTGGCCAGAAGGTTGGAAACTACTGGGAAGATCGAGATGGGTATGGTATGGATGGGATTGATCTGGCTCATAATGTTGACCAGTGGAGGGCTCTTGTGAACACAGTAATGAACCTTTGGGTTCCATAAAATGCTGGGAAGTTCTTGAGTAGCTGCACAATTGGCATCTTCTCAAGGAGGGCTCAGCTCTATGAGTGAGTGAGTGAATTTCTTTAGTTCTAATTTGTTAACATATTTCTGTTGCAGAATTATAAAACCAGAGTGTTTGAGTCTGCAAAATATCCTGAATCAATATTAACTGTGAGAGCCAATGATCTGGATATGGATGATAACAAAACAGGTTATGGAGCTGTTCGATACACCTTGAGTGGAGAAAGTGCTGCATTGTTTGTTATTGATCCTGTATCAGGGGTGATTCAAATTGCTCCAGGTGTTACACTGGATAGGGAGAAGCAGCCAGTAGTGAGGTTCACTGCTGTGGCATCAGATACTCCGCAAGGCGGCAGTGAACAGCGCAAGTCTAGTGCTGTGGTGAGTGCTTGTAACTGTCTTCTTCTTTCTCTAGGATTGTTTTTGTTCTTTACAGGTTGATGGATGAAAAGTCTCCAGTTTTTTTCTTTATTCCCACAATCTTTCCTATTCCAGTTCTTATCAGCAGCAACTTTTTTCTTCTGTTCTTCCAGTGCCTGGCTGAAACATCTTGTTCTGGGTCATTCAATAGGTTTCCTTCTGATAAAGGTTTATTTTAATAGACATTTCAGGATCTTTGGTTTAGCCATTTTCTTTACAGAGCATCTTTTTACTATCTCTGTGTTTTTTTTTTTTTTTTTCAAAAATCACTTTATAAGTATATAACATTTAGAGCTCTTCTCTATTTTTCTGTTGCTCTAGCTATCAGTTTTTAATTCAAAGTTTACTTCACTTCCCTAATAAATAGGTTTCGTTTTGTTTAACCGTTGTGTTATTCACTTTCATTTTGTTATTTATCATGTGACTGGTTACATTTTATTCATGTTTGTAAAGCATTGTCTTCAGTAGTAGTGCATCAGCTAATCACATAAAATATAATTGCACAATGACCAGAAGCTTTTCCATCATTTTCACTTGAGAAATTTGAGAAAATAAGCCAAATTTATTAATAACAATATAATACTCATAGAAAACTTAATCAGAACTCTTTTTGTCTTTGTTTATGGATTATACAGTTTAACTACAGCGTTCGGTTTTAAACAAAGACACAAATATGATATTGAATTAATACATGTTCATTAAATGTCTCAATATAGTCTGTTTCTGTCTATGACTTTGGTGAATACACAGATTTAGTCTTATGGGGAAAGTAATTTCTCGCATACCTTCATCCCACACCCCTTTCTTTTATTCCTTTCATAACTTTAGTTCCTTCCTTTCTTTCTTACTTCCATCCTTCTTTAATATTACTATGTATACAAAAATTTATTTATTGATGATAGATTAATAAGTTAGTAAACAAATATATTTCTTAACATTAAAATGTTTTCTCAGGTATCAGTAGATGTTCTTGATGTGAATGATAATGCTCCAGCATTCACGAAGCACATATACTCAGCAGTTGTGCCAGAAAATGTAGCAGTAGGTGCCGATGTTATTACTGTAACAGCAGTGGACCCTGATGATGGAGCTGGCGGAGAAGTAACCTATGATCTATCCAATGAAGGAGAGGCCAGTGGATTGTTTGCAGTCAATCATACCACGGGACATATCACTACACAGAGGGCTCTGACTGGCAAAGGTCGTACAGAACCCTACCATCTGATGGTGCGAGCCCAGGATGGAGGGAACCCCTCCTTATCAACGGATGTGCCACTTAGCATATTTATAGGAGATGTTTTCACCAATGATGGAGTTCCACTCTTTATTCGACCAACACTCAATGAAGTTGCTAAAGTTTCTGAGGTGAGGTTTCTCTTACGAATTCTTTGATGTTCTGTTTGATTCCATGTAGTTTGATACTTCAAAATTTAAATGAATTTTAAATTAATATCTTCTGCTATTGGGCACAAGAATGGTCAATTAAATTCAGTGCAGGCTGCTGGGTTAGGTAGTGCCTTGATCAAAATGTGTTGTACTTTTAGAATAATGAAAAAATGCTTTTGCAGTGATTAGGTTTCATGAGAAGCAATCCTTTAAAGCATCCAGATAACTTTATTTTAATTTAAATGGAAAAGTACGAATCCTTTTTGCATTGTTGTTACAGAGATTTGACATATAACATTCAGGTAGTGGAACACTAGCTTCATCATTTTTTTTATTTTTTTTTCCCCTATTTTAGAAATATTTTTCTCTCTGGAAGTTTCTGCATTCATTGAATGTAATAAAATCAAAATGTGTGGTAGAATTGAGACTAAGGGAAGTGCATAGTTTAAGATCTAATAGAAATCATTATTAAGAGTACATTCTTTACTTTAAAATAAATATAAGAATACCATAAAAATTATCTGGTTGGATACATTTGATAGTATTATTTTATTTATTCTGTAGACTAAGATCATTTAAAAACAATGTGATTAGAATAATATTTGGACCTAGGAGGGAGGAAGTAATGGGGAGCTGGAAAGTTCTGCGTACTGAAGAGCACCACGATTTGAATCTTGGGCAAGGAATGTGGCATAAATGTGAGAGATTAAAAATACATACAAATTCCGATCAGACAGCATGAAGGGAAGAGACCACGTGGAAGACCTAAGCATGGATGGGAAGACAATATTAAATGGGTCGTAAAGGAGTAGGGTAGGAAGATGTGGATTGGATTCATTTGGCTTTGGACTGAGACCAGAGTGGTCTTCAAGAACATGGTAATGAAATTTGGGTTGCATATAAGGCATGGAATTTCTTGAGTAGCTGAGTGATGATTAACACCTCAAGGGCTCTTCTCCTTGTTGTTAGTTGGATAGAACTGTAATAAAGTGTAGGTACTATGTAGCTGATTTCTTGCATAATTCTGTACCGTAAGTCAAATCATTCCTGGAATTTAATGATTTAGGAAACTGATATTACAAAGCTAAACAAAGGCATTGAAGAGATTTTAGTTGGATGATATGCAGTAGAGAAATCTGTGTCAACATGTAATAAACATAAGTAATTTTACCACAAAATGTTCTATGTATCAGTAATGTTTGGTTTCTGAGTACAGCTCAGATGAGGTCCCATATGATTATTTGAAAATTAATTATTTGTAAATTATTTTCAATATTATGTTGCATTGCAGAATTCTTCAATTGGTTCACCAGTTTTCCAAGTGATGGCTACAGATCCTGATGATCCAAATACACCAAATGGTAGAGTCTCATATAAATTCCTAGATGATGGATTGGATGCATCTGCATTCAATATTGGTAAGGAAGCCATTTCATTTATTCATCTCAAATAATATGTAAGTGTGCAAGAACAGGCTGGTACCACAACATGAACACAGGATAGAGGGACTGTGTAGATATATGCAGTTGCTGAAAGTGAAACACCTGTACATGTATGGTTGTATATTGGTGGAGGGGCTATACGTATAGCCTTAACCTACATACCAGATGGAGGAAAATGTTACTGGCTACATTTATCTGCACAAAAGGCCTTCCTCATTATATTGCTTTACACATTTAATTTTGCACTTCTTGAGTATGAATAACCTGGTCTCTGATGTTAGAGGAAGAACATAGACAGAAGGTAGTTGAACACAGAGTGTTAAGGAGAATATATGGACCAAAGAGGATGAAGTGGTAGGAGGTTAGAGAAAATTGCATAATGAGGAGCTTTATAACTTGTACTCTTCTCCAAGAATTATTAGAATGATCAAGGAAAGGAGGATGAAATGGGCATGGCATGTAGCATGCATATAAAGCTTCAGTAGGAAAGCCAAAAGGAAAGAGACTACTAGGAAGACCTAGACATAGGTGAGAGGATAATATTAAAGTAGATCGTAGATATTAAAATAGGATGGGGTGATATGGACCAGATTGATCTGTCTCAGGACAGGAACCAGTGGAACATGGCAATGAACCTTCAGGTTCCATAAAATTTTGGGAATTTCTTGTATGGCCAGATAGCTGGTTGCTTCTCAAGAAGGACTCAGCTCCATGCAGTTAATTATACCAGACAGATGAAAATGGTTCTTGCTGCATGTATCTGGGATAGGATCTCCTCACCACTGGAAGGCCTTCCTCAATACATTCAGTTTACATATTTGATATTTTCCGAGTATAAGCGTATTTATATTTAATAAATTTTTGCTTGTTTATATATGGATTTATATCTTACAGGTTAGTAAGAATCCATTCATACCTTTTTGTTGGACTGAATGAGATCAACATAGACATACAAATGTAGACACAAATTAGTGACCCCATTTGAGCATGACTCATCTATATTCTTCCAGGAGGAGGATCCCCATACAGTAAACTAACTTTTGTTTATATTATGTTCAGATGGTAAGAGTGGACTCATCAGCACAAGGCAGTTGCTTGACCGAGAGCAAAAGGAAAATTATACTTTGATCATTGTTATTCAAGACAATGGTGAACCTCCTCAGCAAGCAAGCAGAGTGTTACAGGTTCAAGTGCTTGATATCGATGATCACAAGCCTCTGTTTATACGTGGATTGGTAAGTGCTGTCAGTAATGTTTGAGTAATGGCCAACAACTTGTAATAGATTTATTCACATAAGACATATGCACCACACATATATATGATACCAGTACTTTATTTTACTATGTCCACTCAAGGCCAGACTTATATAAGTTGGTAATTTTGACATATGTGGAATGTGAAGTCATATTTTAAAATATTTAAATGAAAACTGCAAAAAAAAAATTCTATGGAAGATGAATGTAAAATAAAGTTTAACAATTATTCACTTGCAACACAATTTAGAATATAAATGGACTCCATCAGTTTAAAAAGGATGGATACTTGTTAAGGAAAGTGCATCAAACGCAGAAGAAACTTAAGCATTTATTGTAATTGCTATGTAATCGAATATTTAGTCTCCAAGATTTTAAAATTGGGACTGTATTGCTTTGTGGCACATTGCATACATATTTTATGCCAAAGTGTATTGTGATAAAATGACAGAGTATAGTTGACAAACTCCATGGAGCAGAACCCTTCCTTAGAAGTCATACTTGAATGAATGAATAATGTAAAAGGGGCGGGCCTTCTTGGCCCTTGCACCATGACCACAGTGATCTATGAAGCCAATACTTGATCAGTTATCAAAAAATTTGACATTTCCTATTAAATCAGAAGACCCATTGCCATGTTCACAGAGAACCTGCTATGGTTCCTGTCCTGAGCAGGGATAATTCACTTTGTGCACTTACATCCAATTGCTTTAAGATCAAATGTAATGTTACTTTATCATCTATAATTGCTTAGTGAGCATCTTGGCTCAAGTGGTAATGCTTCTAATCTGTATTCAAGAGGTGCCTGGTTCAAATCTCAGCTGGGATATTATCCTAACTTAGGCAGTGATTGCTTCCTTCCACATTCCTTCCAGTTCATTATTCAGTATCATCCAGTCATTCAACAGTGTACAGTCTGGATTAAAAAAACTGCAGATAAATAAGTACACTTACTTCCTACAAGTTGTCACTGTCAACTGGGCTCCCAGAAATATGTATTTCTCCATCTCTCTAATGTGTGCTACAAGCCCTGCGCATCTCATACTCCTTGGTTTGGTCATGATAATAATATTTATGGAAGTGAACAAATAATGAAACTCTATAATATGCAGATTTCTTCAGTCTCCTGTTACCTTCTTCCTTGTAGGTAAAAATATTCCCTTCAGCACTCTACACCAAACTCCTTCAAATATTTTCTTTCTTTTGGGTTGGAAACAAATTCCTCACCAATAAAAAGGAAAGGTGAAATTGTGTATTTGTATACTTAATATTATATTTCTTGATAGGTGATGGATTGATAAAAGATTCTGAACTTCATAGTGGCATACACTTGCTTGTATTCTGATCACATACATACCACATGTGTAAGTAAAGTCTTCGCATATCATTATGTTGCGGATGTTCTTGTTATTTTTATTAGGATGATGAACCGCAGATCATGACTGTGAATGAAGAAATGAATGTTGGTTCAAAGGTTGGAAATGTCACAGCAGTTGATGAGGACATTGGTGAAAATGGCATGATTGATTACCTTATAACATGTAAGTCAGTCTCAGTGGACGTCATCTGTGGAGAAAAGGGCAACTGTTCTTAGCATTTTTGCCTTTTTCAACACATTGTACACACATCGCCATCACTTTACACAGAGTGCAATGCACAAAGAACTCCTTTTATGTATATCTGCATTATTTTGGCCTCATAGCCTTACTCTGCTTCATCATAATCACCAAAGTCATCATGAGCTTAATGAGAAAAGATCAGCTATGAGATACTTAATCATTTAGAATGCTGACTCTTTTCATAAGCATGCAAATTAAACATACATTCATATTCACCCTGGCTGTCCTGAAATGAATCATTTCAATCGATTTACTGTCCAGCCCATTGCCAGTTGTTACACCAACTGTGCTATCCTGAGGGGTCAGAGTTTGAGTCCCAGTAGAGCAAGATTTTTCTCCTTCACATGTCATCCAGTCTGATTTTGAGACCCACCCAACCCTCTATACAGTGAGTGCCATGTGCAATTTCTCTGGGGCTAAAATGACCAGGTTGTGAAGCCGACCATTCACTATTGCCAATGTTAAGAATGCATGGATCTATATACCCATTGCCCCATACTTCTTCATGATATAGTGCTTAATTAGTTAAACACAGGAACATCTTTACATTTTTTTAGCTTTTTGATCTACTGTGCTTGGGTATGGAGGTACGAAATTTGTCTGTGAATATTTGGATAGAGAGATATTTCAGAATAAGCATGTGATGGTAGTGTTTAGTTCTGTTTAGTTGCACTGCATGAAGACAGTCTTCTGTCAGTCCATAACAGGACTGGTCATACACAAGTGAAGTCTCTGTGCTGAATTTCATAAGCACCACTACACTGAGATGTATATCTCCATGCATTCTCTACATTGGCACCAGATGGAGGTGGGTAATCAGCTGCTTTATGCTTAGGGAAGGAGCCTGTTATTCACACTGGATGTGACGCTGAATGGACCCCAAACCATTCTGGACATGGAGGGGAAGCGAAAATTCTTTTCCCCTGCTTTTTTATTTAACTCTGAATTTAATATTTAAGTCTGTTAATTAAGTTTACAAGTATATTAGTCTAAGCAACTTACGCAAGTTAATAGCAGTTCTATTAAGAGACATGTATTGTAGCATATAGGTGACTCTTTAAGTGTGAAACATATATTTGTAAGCATTAAGATAAGGTCATGCCATAGCTCAAGTGGTTAGTCACTGGCTCCCCACAGCGGCGACCCAGGTTCGATCCTGGGTCTGGTCAAGTGGGATTTGTGGTGGATAAAGTGGCGGTGGGGCAGGTTTTCTCCAAGTACTTCGGTTCCCCTGCCAATCTTCATTCCACCAATTGCTCCACAATCACCCTCACCTATTATCTTGGGCTGGTACAATAGGCCAGAAGTGGCCACAGTACAAGGGACTTAGTCCCACCCCACTAGTAATAAAAAAAAAGTATTGTAGCGTGTTTTGTGTGTCACGCTACAAATAACTTCACGCCGTTGTCCCAATATAGCGGATTTATTCCTTTCACTCACACTTTACACACACTTTACAGGCGTTTACACTTGCAGTGCTACAATCACTGCTCACAATATTCCGGCGAGACCGACTCCTTAGACGGATATTCCAAACTGACTTCTTAGACAGGCGATCCGGAGCTTTCTTCTTCGAAGACTATTCCGCGACTTTCTTCTTCGAATGCTATTCCGAGACGCACTGTTTTTCGCTGAAGCTGGGCTATCTATAACCTTGCCCGCTGTTAGGCAACGAACCCTCCGTTATAACCATGGAGACTCCTGTTAGAATTACCATGGAGCAATTGTTGTCTCCTCTGTAACGGTCTATTGTAGCGTTTCCATAGAAGTTACCCCTCTGGTTTGCCGACACGTTACAGTATTAAGATATTGTATGTAATTTGTAACAACTGTATACAATGTTCTATGTTGATGGTACATATATATATATATGTATATGTGTGTGTGTGTTTGTGTGTACCTGTAATATGATTAGCTTTGTAAAACATATTTGTACCAGTGAAGTATTCAGATCCAGAAATAGTGCATTAGAAAATGTGTTCCAAATTGGTTACACCTTTGAAACAAGAACCTGAAGAGGCAGTTAACATTAGTAATTTTCTTAAACACACAAGGATATTAATCTGAATGGGAATATTTTAATATCCTTGCTAATTATAGTTCAAAAATATTTATTCTTATGAAGCATGTGATGATCTTGCAGATGGTAATGAGGATGGACTATTTTCTATAAACCGCACATCAGACAACAAGGGGATGATTACTGTAGCAAAGAGAGTTGATCGAGAAACAGCCTCGGAACATTTATTGACCGTGAAGTGTTTCAAGAAATCTGCCAAACCTCATAGTTTGAGGAAACAGTATAACAGACAGGTAAAAGCTTTAACGTATAGAATATTCCATTAAATATAATATTTTAATATTCCATCTGGGAATAAGTGATTCCTTACCTGTATGAAGTCTGTCAGTTACAAAATAGCAGATTCAAGATGTTGGTAAATCAAAACATATACTCCAAAATATTCCCTGTTCCTGTTTTACGTTGGTAAGTCTACAATCTCATCTTTCTTCCTTCAGTGTTCCCTCTTCAGTTTCTTGCTAGCTTCATTTGAAAGCATTACTGACATCCAGTGTTAACCTGTCACACCATCACCACACCTGCACAGCTGTCATTTACAGGGTTCTTCTTGGGTCTCCTCAGCTTCCACAGCAGGACTGAGTATTCTACAACAGGAAGTCTGCTGCTTGATAGTAAACCCTCCTTCAGAGTGAACACTGAGGTCAGACTCTGGAAGGATCTAAATTTATGTACTATGTGATTAGGAGCCACTTTATTTCAAAACCTAGTAATATTCTGTCTAAAATATTTTTTAGGTATGTCATACCTTGAGAGGTGAGGAGTGGTAGTGTAGTTGGTTGAAGCACTATGCGACAAGCCAGAAGGTGACAGGTTCAAGTCCTGATGAGTTTTATTGGCTTTTTTCAATTGACCTAATCCTTCCAGCCACACTATGGCCCTGGGTTCAACTCAGCCTCTAACAGAAATGAGTACCAGGAATATTCTTGGGGGTAAAGGGTGGCTGGTATGTAGGGCTGACAACCTTGCTGCCATCTGGGAGCCCATTGCCTAGAAAATGTGGGAACCTCGACGTTTCACAACCCTATGGTCCTCCACAGCCTGTTACTGGGATATCTTTACTTTTTTTTACCTTTTTATGTCATAACTTGAGAAGGAAGCCTAATAGAAGAGAGTTTGCGGTGTGTTCTATGAGATTTCCAGTATCATGATATTGCTTCCCTTTGCATGTTGAATTTTGTAACTTCCTAATGACACAACAGTCTATGTCAATGCCTTACAATGACACACTCTCAATGATGTTGAATTCTGCCAGTAACTTTTCAGTTCAACAGCTAGTAGTGTCTGTATTGCTGTACTGATTCCCTCTCCATTTCTTATGTCCTACATTTTAAGGACAGCCTTGGCATGTTGTGTTGTTAGTGGGAAACTGACAGCAATGAAGATGTGCTTTCTGGATGTGACACTGCCTAGTCCAACAGAATGGTACCAGTGTTACAGAAAAAATTGCTGTTCCATCTCTGTGGCAGAAACTATTACCAGTATTTGGAGGTTACTAGAATGACTGTGTGAGATGTTAGGGCACCAGAGAAACCTGTTACCTTTAGTAATTATTGCAATATTAACCCAGTCTATTATAAAATTGGAGGCAACAGGTTCTTTGAAAATGCTGTTACTTTTCTACTTGACTACATGGTGTCACAACAATCCAGAAGATAGTAATTTTCATATTTGCTGCCAAGACAACCTCAAATCTCAGAATGAACGATTCTTTATTTATGGTGTAGACTCATAATAATTTGTTTTCGCTTATAGGATCCATCAGAAAGGCAAGTTAAGATTGTAGTATTGGATATTGATGACAACAAGCTGGTTTTCACAAAAGATAATATCACTATAGGTAAGTTTTATAATTATATATACTATGTAAGTTTTATCAAAAACTTGAGTAATGATGCTAAACATTTTAAATCACAGCTAAAGAAATATCTGCATGCTCATTCCTTCTACTCTGTAGATGAATACCTCAATGTAAATAGAGAATAATGTAGAGTTAAGCTATATTAGTTTAAGATAAAATTACCTGTACCAGCAGGTATTATTTTGACTTGTTCCATATCCAGAGGTATTAACCTACTAAATTCAATAAATTCAATTCAATTCAATTCAATATAAAGTTCTGGGTGTAAATAATAACCTATTTGCCTTTGATATTACATGGACCACACAGAAAATTAAAAAGTTAAGGGGGATACCCAGACACACAACCACACTGACACATGACACACAATCACACTGACATGAAGACACACAGATAACAAAGTGCTCTAATAAGTCTTCTAAAAAAATTAAGGGGAATACTCAGATAGAATGACAGAGAGAGAGCAAGGTGATCTCTTAAGCTTTTTTTTTTTTTTCCAGAATAAGGAAAGTAGGCAAAAAGTGAACTTACTTAATTACCTGGCGCAGCAAGTGCCAGGTCAGAAGTGAGCCACTGTTGTGATATCATGCTAACTAATTGGGTGGTGACAGAAGAAAATATTATCTTTCCACTTGTCCATTAAAAATCCCACATTGACTTCCATAGGACTGAAACCATACCTCTGCATTGTGAAGTCAACATCTACCTTCCAGAGGCATAACATACCCATTAAGTCACAACTTGGTCTTAGGCCAATATGTATATATATATATATATGTATACAATGTGTTTTGTTTCTTCAATTTCCTACTGCAAAACCACTAGAGAACATGAAAGGTATGGGGATTATGCTGTGCTCTTGCCAATATATATGGTAGTCATGTCTGTTAAACTGATGTGCAAATATTGAAGTAGAGTTTTTGGATGTTGTTGAAATCCTCATTCCTAGTCTTATTTTTTAATTATATGAATTCATTCATTCATTCATCAGTAATCTGTCAAGATGACAGGTCCACAGTCTCTTCCAAAACAGTTCCTCCACTTAATGGGATCTGGAGCTTTCTCCTTCAAATGAGAATATCCTCTTCTGTCCCCAAGGTCATCCAGCATCTTCTTACGTCTTCTTCCTCGTCTTCTGGTCACTTCTGTCCACCCCTCTATCTTTCTTTCAATAACTTCTTTTAGAAGGCAGTTACTGCATAAGATATGACCAATCCAATTAGCCTTCCATTTTCTTATTTCATGTAGGATATTCCTCTGCTCACTGACTCTAAATAACACTTCTTCATTTCTCACATAATCGGTCCAACTGATCTTCTCCATCCTTCTCCAACGCCACATTTCGAAGCTTTCCAGGTGTTTCTGATCTACTGCCTTAAGTGTCCAAGTTTCAGCCCCATACAAAACCATGCTCAAATTATATAAATATATTCTATTTTTTTATCTTAAATATTGTTCCTTCTTTAAAATTTTATCTGCTATGTATTGTGACGTTAACAAAGGAAATAACCATATGCAATGGAATCTCCAATTAATGGTCATCAGTTCCAGTGGTTCAAAGTCAACAATCTCAGTGTTAACTTTCGCATATTTAAGAATTTTCTAATTTTTTTGCATTCAGATCCGCCCATACCCAAAGAAACCTGAAGCAGGGTTCTTACTGTAGATGTAACTTTTCAGTTTCCTGTTTTTGTGCTCAGTGAAGAATACCCATAGATATGACATTTACTGCATATTCTTGCCAGTATATATTGTAGCCATGGCAATAACAGCATGTTGAAAATATTTCAAGAGAACATTTTTTTCAGTCACATGTAAATTTTAATTTCACATTTTTTAATGTTTTAGCTACTATATATTATGATAATATGAATGAAGAAAGCAACAACATTGGGTGAAGAATGGGTACCTCTGCTTATTTGTGAATGTAATTCAATTCTCACACTCATAAAAATTTTACTTTTATATTTAATTACAGAGAATAGATATAAATGCCATTATTATCATTTTCATCTCATTCTTACACTTCATAACAATATTCATGTGATATCACTGTATACATTTATCATTATAAGTACAATAACAACTGATAGAATAATGAAAATACCCATTTGGTTGTTTTCACAAATCTTTATTATTCTTTAATTTCTTACAGATAATGTAATCACAATGAAAATCTTCTCAGGTGATCGCCCATGTGGAGATGGAGTTACTATCCACTGCTGTGACCGCTGTCTTTGTCAATATCATCAGGACTTCGCTGCTTCTGCTGTTACTTTGTAGAGTAGACTATGAGAACATTTCTTGCAGTATCATAACTGAACACCATTACTCATAATTTCTTTGAAATATCACATAAACTCTTGAAAAGAGAAACAGATACAGTGTCTGAAATGTTGGATACTAACATGTCTGATCACCTGAGAGGATTTCATTGCATATGATCACTGCAAATGCTTCAAACCGTTCATAACATAAAGATTACCAGTTTTTTTTTTTTTTTCAGGTGTTCGCCTGAATGTGCCAGTGGATACTTCTCTTCTTACATTGGAGGCTGTTGACATTGATTCAGACTCTCAGCCTATCACATACAGGCTAGCCAACTCAACATTCTTCTCTCTGGCACCATCAGTTATAGACACAGTGCCAGTGTCAGCCAATCACAGTACAGTATTTAGACTTAATAATGAAACAGGAGAACTGAGAACGGCCAGCAGTATGGTTGGCTTTGTGGATGGTTTCTTTGAGTTGCAGGTGACTGCAAACAACACTGAAGTTGCTGGCAGAGAAGTGAACACCACAATCAAGGTTTGTAATATTATAATTTTATATTTATTATTCAAGCAAGGAACGAACATGAAGCAGGCAGCAAGCAGGGCCTAGTTGCTAGCCGATTCACAGTGGTTTCTTGCTTGGCTTACTCTTTCATTGTGAAGATGGAGGCATTATGTGCCTCTGAAACATCCATTTGACTATCACCAGACAATGCAGTGTTACAGTCCAGAACAGCAATAATTTTCTGGTGGCCTTTTTAAGCACAATCATTCTTGATTTTGGGCTCCATTGGGACCATACATTTGTTCATTCCACAACAACTTACATGTTTTGAAATTGTTATAGATTAGTAGATCAATCTGTTTATTTATAACTTGTGAAATAATAGACTTGTTGATCCCATTAGTAGTCCATATCTGTGTGGCCTGAATAGACAGTACCAACATCAGATGCTGTGAGGTTGAATTGATGTAAGCTCTCTAACATGAGCACACTGTATTAATGTTATAGTCTACATTCATAGACTAAATTACTATATACAGTAAATTATTTTAAGTACCACTCTTTTGGGCTGTGTCTTCATTTATGAATGCTGCAAATTAGAGCAGATCATTGCATCATCTTTTTACTCTGCTACAGTTGTAAAGTCTGAGTGGCCATAGTTGCCAGACTAGTCAATAGAACAGTCAGATAAGTGGTCAGACTGAATAATGGAAGAGAAAGAAGGAATCTGAAGCCAGCCATGGCTCTCATATGTAAAGGTTTTTTCCAGGAATTTCTCTCTGATACAGAGAAACATAAAAACCCCCAGAATATGCAGTACAAGTAATATGTCTCCTGAATGCAAGCATTATTCTGCCTGATTTATCTTAAGTTATGCAACATGCAAGTTGGTTCCAGAGCCTTTGATTGTGTTGGTTTATACTGTAGTTACATTCTTAATGGGGGCCAATAAGGGGCACAAAAATTCAACAATTTTCATCTTCCCACAAGTCACTGTGTAGGGCTGAGTGCTTGGTTTCATGTGTTACAATTCTGTTTACATCTGTTATCTCTTCATAATCTTTAATTGATGATATTTTGTTATAATTGTTCTCTGATGAAATATTATTTCTGGCACGAATCACAATTTTTTTTTGTTCCACTTCTTTGTTTTACTAGTGTAGAACATCCATGCCAAATTGGGGCAATGCTATAATGAATATAGATGTCCTAGTAGCTAAATACGAATATAATACCTTTCATAAAATCATTTCCTGGTGTGCCAACAGGAGGCACATTGAATATCGTTACTAATATTATAAGCTTTCCCATGATTGGCTTGAGGGTTTGAGAACATTCCCTTTTTATTTTTTGTAACATAATTAAATAACATTTTGCAGATATATTTGATTAAATATTGTTATAATTCCATGCAAAAGCATTTTATTGTGTAATTTATGTTTTTGTAAAAATATATGTCTTTAAAATATTTCAACATCAGCCTTAGTTCAGAAATTATTCCTTTGTTTACTGAATACCTCTAACTACTGACTAATGTAACCTATTGTTTTGCTTCTAGATATTTGTGCTACGTGATCGAGATCTGTTGAAGTTTGTGTTCAGCAAACCGCCAACAGATGTGAGGAGAGTTCTTAATGAATTTCAGAGGGAAGTAGAGAGGGCACTGTTGCTTCCTGTCAGTCTCAACATTTATGACACACAGTTCTATGCTAAAGAAGATGGCAGTCTTGATTTCAGCAGCACAAGGTTTGTCAGCATTTCTTGTAATTAAATCTTCCTGTTAAGTTGAATATTCTTAACATCTGCTAAGATAAATGCAATGCATCTTTAGTATTTCATATCAGAGTAATATTCTTATTCTGATTGTAGTGGTTGTGTAGTTTAAGGCCTATGTGGTCTCATGCAGAATGAATGCTGGTGTTCTCAATTTGAATTCCACCTAAGGCATGAATGTTTGAACATATTTTCAGCCCCTGTAATTCTTCTTTTTGACCAAATTTTTGGGATTATACCATGTGTTAGCCCCCTCATGCAGACAAAATATATTATTATTATTATTTAAGTGTTCCAAGAAATTAGTGAGAAAATACAGGAAATTCAGGAAAAATGCTCTGAGAAATGGTGCAATTTATTTGGGTAGTTCAGACTATTAGGCACTGGATGGCAGCATGATTAATGAATTGGAAAGGCTGTTGAAGGAACTGATAATGGCCGAATTTAAGATACTATCCTGGATTTTAGGGCCGCGCCATAGCTCAAGCGGTTAGTTGCTGGCTTCCCACCGTGGTGGCCCAGATTTGATCCTGGGTCTGGTCAAGTGGAATTTGTGGTGGACAAAGTGGCCCTAGGGCAGGTCTTCTCCGGGTACTTCAGTTTCCCCTGCCAATCTTCATTCCACCAATTGCTCCACAATCACCCTCATCTATCATCTGGGGCTGGTACAATAGGCCAAAAGTGGCCGCAGTACAAGGGACTTAGTCCCACCCCACTAGCAATAAAAAAAAATCCTGGATTCTATTTAGAGGGACTGAGGAAAACAATGAAGAACCTGAGTGCAGGTTAGACTTTGCCCTTGCCAAGACTTGAACCAAGCACATGCCAAATAGATGTCACAATCTTGTTTCTATGTTGTTGTTATTATAATTCATGGTCATATATTTGTTCCAGCTCATGTTTCCAGTTGGTTGGTAAGGAAAGCTATGATCTTAATGATATGCAATCATTGCTTCAGGATCCTAACAACGTTGACCTGAATGATGTTTATGACAAGTACAACGTCCAAGGCGTTCAGGTAACCCTATTTTTCAGACATATTTAGAGGACTAATAAGTAATGCCTCGCAACAAGAATATAAGATGAGGTTATAGCCATAAATGATGCAAATATAATGGCCTTTCCCAGACAAATGCTCATCAATCACATTTTATAGAACCTACACTGAATTTTCTGTAGTATGTTCTGATGCATTTGCTGCTGGAAATAAACACAGTGCTTTACTCTTTGGTCAGCTCTTCAAAGAAAGGCTAAAAATATCAATATGAAGCTTCAGGGGGTTATCTTTGGCATAATTGAAAATCTTGTGTATCTGATTTTTGTCATTTAATAATAATTACATGTGAAATTTGAGGTTCTCATGGCAGTGACTGTGAACATTACTGTCTTCTATGATGCAATGCTGTGCAGTTTGGTAGAAGTTCTTACCAGTGTTTTGGAGGAACATAATTACCTGTCTTCAGGGTTGAAGAACTATTTTTAACCATGAAGATGGAGGCACAAATCCTTAGTCTTTACATATTTCATAACCAAAGAAAGATGTCCTCTATGTGTGTTCAAATGCTACAGGTACCTGCTATTGATTGTGGCGCCTCTAACAACGATTCTTAAAACCCTGTTATGCAAGCATTATGTGTGGGTTGTAAATTGTTTTTAGTGCCTCTAAAGAATTTAGTGATTCAGACATAAAATGGTTTAAAGTTAAGCTCGAGTTCTGTTCTTAGCACATACTTTGAAGTAAGCCAGGTTTTATTTGGCAGAGGACCAAGTTTCATGCTTCTTTCTGTATCTGTATTAGAATGTACTGATATTTCTTTCTTTCTTTCTGAACTACATAGACACCAGCCACTGTTCATAAAACTGCATCATCACTGACAATGCCTTTGCAGAAATGATATACTCAGAATTACATTAATGTAGTTGCCAAGCTACAGCCATCAATATGTGCACATATATAATCTTCAGATATATAATTCCAAGATGGAAACCAGGAATATATTGTGATTCAAAACTCATGTGACCCAGTATTGGAAATATGCAACATGGTGATGGAATATAATTATACACGCAACATTTGGCAGTAGTGGTGACTCAGTCTTGCATGGTACTGTGAAGCAAACTGGCCGACACCTTTTGTGCTTTCTTAATAACGAGAGCAGAGTCATGTAATTTTCCCAGGCACAGAGTGTATTCATAATTGAACCCTATTATATGACCAGACTGGATTCATTTTGATTTCATATTCAGCAGTATACTGCAATATGTTTATTATATGTGTGATGTGTGTGCACACCTGAGGATGGTCAACCAATACTGAAACATGATGTATTGATATATTCAACTGAATCGTTTGTTGCGTGTAATAGAGTCAGTGTGTTTTGTGATGGCATAAAACTGTCAAGGTCACTATTGCATCACTATTGCATATTCAAAGAGAGTTTCTTTAGACATACCCAAATTCTCCTGCCCACATAAGACTACAATAGCAGGATTACTTTACGTTAATAAACTAATACAGTAGAACTTGGTTATAACGTCATCAAAGGGAGCTAAAAATAGTGTCGTTATAAACGAATGTCGTTGTAACCGAAATGGGCACTTCCACAGTAGCCTTATGTTAGTCACGTAAAAATCTACCAAAAACCGAGTTAAAATGTTGCATTTTTTAGTGAAATACGTAGTTAAGTACAGACTAACGTAACATTAACGTGGAATTGCCCAAATGTGTAATATCAAAGACATATTACAGCGCTTTTCACTGACAATACACACTGCACTAATACTGTATATTAAAGGTAGGCCTACTCACCAAATTACAGTAGATTACATCAATTGTTGTGCCTTACTGTACCTAGATACGAGTACAGTAATCAGTTATCTTCATCTGTTTCCTGTTACTTGCCCAATACACACTTTCTAAATTATGTTCAATGTTTATATCAGAGAAATTCAGGAATGAAAATGACGTTACATACGAGGTTGATGCATTTGTGCATGTCGTACTAAGCAAGGTATAAAAACAGTTGCTTTATGAGGAATTAGTTTGTACCGTTGAATATTTGACGCAATAGACAAGGTGTCGCAGAAACCGATGTTGCTATAACCAAGTTTTACTGTAGTTCCAGCTGGATTGCTTGACTTTTGAATCACTCTGTAGTATTATTAATGTGAATATTGCCAACTAAACAGTATTTCTGTTGAGAATATATATTTTTTGAATGCTAAAACAGGAAGTATTATTTTAATTTCTTGGGTTATTTCATTAATTTATGAGTACTGGAATAAGTAATTTCATCAGTAAATGTCTGTGTTGCAGAGATGTGCGCCCCTTATTGCTAAAGCTGAGGCCTCTTGGATTCAACTCTGGGTACTTGCAATTGCATGTTTCATTGGGTTGGGTGCACTGATGGCAGGGATAACCACATGCTGTTTACATGGGAGGTAAGAATCTGAAAGTAACATTTGCCATAGTTATTCACGTGTCCTTCATAATCACACCACAATTACCTCACAGAGTAAGGTTATTTTTGTGTATGTATCATTACCATCTTTTCCTGTGGTGAAGTGAGTTCATTTTATCAAAGGTAGATGCATTTTTCTAAGCACACATATAGTTAATGTTTCCCTATGTCTGCTGACCATCTTTCATTTTACAGTGGTTTATTTGTAAACAAATTTCAATCGTTTCTTTCTAAATGACTATTGATATACAGGCTGATTCACGAAGTTTTCCCCGGCTTATGGTACATATTCCTGGGGTTATTTCCTGCAAAATTTCCATATAAACTTGTGGTCGATTTTCAATAGTTACGGAGTAACAATAGATTTTAGAAACACAGCATTGTGAATGCAGCGCTATGCTTCAGCGTGGGCGACCATACGTTCCAGTCAGCTATGTCAGCAGATAAGGTAGACCGGTTTTAATGTTGCGCGTAGGTAGATAGGCAGAGTGGTTCATACTCCTGTGATGCATTGTGTTGATGTGCAGGGAGACATTTTTGAAAATCTTATGTAAATCCAGTTGTTCTAAAGCACTACAGTTTAAAGGAAACAGATTGATAGAAGGGTGTGATTTGCAACCATTGGTATGTTTACAGAATGGGATGCTGAAAATAATGTAATTTTGTAACACAAAATCGACGAAAAATGTTGCACATTGCAAAATTAAGAAATTGAAAAAAAAATGGTTTTAGAATGTGTCTTTCGTAAAACATTAACGATTTAAAAAGCGTTTGTATTGTATTTCTAATTTGTTTTGACTGAAATTCGAACAAAAAAAGATTTTTTGCCAGTTTTCAAATTACTGTATCTCTTTAATTATGAGTTGGATACCATTAGTATATTACCATTTTTTGTTCCAAATTACCTCAGGAGTGCCCTCCCTAAGTGGGGGTAAAACTTCGTGAATCACTCTGTATATGTTAAATTTGCATATAAAAACAGTCTCCAAATTTGATAAGGCAGGGATTACAATGTAATTACAATCCTTTCATTTTGCTGTGTTGTTTCTATAGTGCATAGAGTGATCCATACACAGCGCTGTTCCATTGCTGGACAGCAATTTGGAATGATGTAGGTTATCCTTATGCACAAAAAACAATTATTATTCTCAGAATGGTCTTGCTGGTAGTGAAGTTCAATGAAGGTGAGGTAAAGGTAAATTTACATGAAGTTCTGTAACCATCACACCATGAAAATGCATGTGGGAATGTGTGAGTGGAGGTATAGCTCCATGCATTTTTAACCTTAGTAATGAATGGAGGTGAGTGGTTATCTTCATACCCTTGCCACTTTATTCCAGGTGAAAGAGCTTCCATACCCACTTGATAGGAGGCTGGAAGCACCCCAGAGTTGGTCTTGACATCATGGAGAAGAGAAAAATCTCTTCCCCCTGCCAAGAGTTGAGCTATGATTTGTCAGATATCCAGCTCATAAACTGTCCTTATACTGACTGAGCTATCCTGACTCAACAAAACCATTGAATCTGATTATAATTGTACTTTATTTCCAAATGTATTTCACAAATCATTGTGCTGACATTAGAATAGTATAACTACGTTTCTGGAATTTTAGGTACAAACGTCATGTGAAGCGCAGCCTGTTACGGGACTGTCCCCGAGTTCCTGTTTCTAGTATCGGGTATTTATCTAGTACCGGAGGCCCTCCTACCATGATAATAACACCCTCATCTGCGATATCAGAAGGACCACGAATGTATGAATGGGCCCATGATGGCCCAGTGTTACCTCCAGGACATGATAACATGTCATACCATAGTTTTCCAACAAGGTAATATTTCATATTTCTGACGTTTTATTATTGCTGTTAAAACAGATATTAAATTTTGTTAACAGATTGTATAAATTAAATACACATACATATATCTCATTTCAGAGTCACGATGATTGTTGTCTCTGCCATTAATTGTAGTACAAATTGGTTCAGGAAAATGCTTCCAATTTCCCTTAGATTTTAGTTAATTTCTCGTATCTGTAACATGACTGAAATACAGAAATATGAATACAAATTCTACTGTGTATCTCACATTATGGTCTTGCACTAATATCTCCAAGTAAAGTATTTTGTATGTTTCTTTTTATTCAGGGCTAATATTTGTAGGAAAGTAGGCTTGTGAAATCACCATTTTCCTCTCCTTCAAACATTGGGGTTAATATGAGAATTTTATGGCGCTAAAGATTTGGATTGTGTTCTTTTGGATTATGGCACCATCATACTCTGGTAGCTGGTTACCAGTATTTGATGGGACCTTGGACATCAGTTCTACCCTGAAGTTAGAGGCACATAGCAGTGCATCCCAGAAGGTCTTCATCTTGAAGGAACCTTAAGTTTTGCAGGCTCCTCAATACTGGTGACCCCCAATAAAACTAGATGTTGACATAATCTGGTAGACCACAATCCAATTCAAGTTTGATGTTTAGATATTGTGCTTTTATTTATCTCAATTCGGTTATACTGAAAGGTTCTTGATCAATACCTTGCCAGCCATGATTTTGTCTTTCAGCCATGTAAATGTAAGAGGAATTTTTAAAATTGCTGCATGGTGTTTATGCAATGTTATAAACATAACATGTCGGAGTATTGAAGTTCAACATACTTTCAAATTGTTGTATAATAAGTCAGTTTGTGCTACAGATGCCAGTTAAGGCAAATTAAGCTATGACACACTTCCCTGCGTAAGGAAGCCTTGTATTTTTTGATATCCTATTATGTATAATACTCAAACAATATTTTGTAATAAAGTTCCAATTTTAAACCAACTCTTTGAAATGAAATAACTTTAATACTTGTTGGAGGGCCTAATCCATGGACCTTGAAGTTACTGTAACTTAAAATATATAATGTTTGTTTGTATAGATTTGTACACATTTGTTATAATTTTAGAATTATTGTTGTAATACTGTCTGTAACTCTTTGAATTGTGAAAATCACCTAAATACACTGAAATCCTTATGTAATATTCTTGTATTTAATGATAACTTGCATTCAGTGAATATTTTTTCTAGTCTTAGCCAAAGCCCAATAGAAGCAGTCTGTTATTTTCTTGTGTAGTGAATTTTGGTTCAGTAAACAACCTGGAATTAATACCAGAAATTTTAGACCTTCTAGAGCGTTTACCTCGATTTATTGCTGATGTGGTAAAGGCAACAGTTGATGTTTACATTTTCTGTCTGCCAGAAGTCATTAATGCATAATCAATATTTTTGGGAAATTATGTCAACTATTTAGGTGTCTATAGGGTGTCTCCACCTTATCGTGGTGAGGGGGTTTGAGTATGCCAAGGACCCTGAGAGCTATACCAGTGGTAGCATAGCTACTGGCAGGGCCTCCCATGCTGGACAGGTCAAAGGGTAGGCATCAGACGAAGAGAGAGACTAAAAACCAAAACTGATGCCGGAAGCAGCGTCATCAGCAGCGACTTGAAGCACAGAGCAAATGATGCTTGAGATGGTTCAAGTTCGTATAGCAACAGGCATGACCAGAGTGGTTTGAATGGCTGTTGTACTGCGATGTGGAAGGCAAATGGAAAAACTACATTATCACTTATCCTGGATAGTCTCTTTCCAAAAACAGAAGATCGCATTAAGTGGAGGAACTGTTTTGGAAGAGACTGTGGACCTGTCGTCTGACAGATTACTGATGAATGAATGTCACTTATTGAATGCACCTAAACCAAGCTTCTCAGGGCATAACAGTTGCCTTGATTCTCGGCTAAGGTTCCTGCAGTGTTTATATTGTACATCATTTACTATTTTAGATTAATTAATTTGGTAGTATTAATACTATTTAGCTGATTACAGTTGCTGTGCTGTTTAAGGCATGAACTGTCTTCGCCTGCTGGAAAGCTGGGGTCAAGGGATTGAGTCCCACACAATGCGTGGATGTCTGTGTGTGTTTATTCTGTGTTTGTGCTGTCTTGTGTGTAGATAGAGGCCTTGTTACAGGCTGATCCCCCATCCAAGGAGTCTTACCTACTGTGTATAGGGCCAGAGTCGAGCAAAGAGCTGTATAGCCATTGATGAATGAATGAATTAATGATATTTACTTTTGTAAAAAAATTTTCTCTAATTACTGTGTAAAGGAATTATTTTTATCATACATGCATACAATAAGTCTTACAATAGGATGAACATTTTCTTGATGTAATTTTGCATAACACCCATTTGGTTAAAACCTCCATTTAATATAAGAAGAACCTAAATAATATCTTTGGATGTTGTGTGAAGCTCTTTTGGTCTGTGTCACCATGTTTTCTAGACCAATGTTTTCCAGAGTGGGACTCATGGCCTTCCCAGGAAGTTATGAAGCTTCCTTTTAAGGGCTGCCAAAAATGTTGATTTTCTAATTATCATGCACATAAGCTGAGAAGAAAAAGCCACATTAAATTGAAAACATAAATCTAACAGCAAAAGTACTTCATAAATGGAATTAATATTTATTAGCCAAAAATTAGAAACTGCTAAATTGCATTTTAAGTTGTTTTTAAATTTGATGGGCCTCAAAAATTGTTATTCACATCAAGGGAGCCTTGGACTAAAAGAATCTGGGAACCACAGGTCTCAACTACGTCACATTTAAGAAAGCTGCTTAGACAGTGGTAATTTAGTCATGACTGTGGCTTTGCTTGACGTAATTCCATGCTGATTTCAGACTGAAGTACACATCATCATTGGCCACCCAGTGAAGGATTGCAGAAGGAACTTTGTAAATTAAATGTTATGCAAGTTTGTTCATTGATTTCAGTGAGACAGTTGTTCAATTTGGATTGTTAAGTTGGTTTCTTTCAGTGATTTGTGATACTAGTTACACGGTCATGGAATAAAATCTAGAAGTGACAAAGTTACTATCTTCAAGTATGTACTCGTACGTTAATAACATGTTGTTTGGCAATCTGCTACTGTCATTTCAAATTGATTTAACAACAAGGATTTCAGAATAGCTTGCAATATTTACTTTAGTTTAAATTATGGGTAAATAACCTTCTAAAGGAATTTTAATAAGGCAATGGAGATCCAGAACCCTAGTTAGTTAGTTAGTTATTAGAGAGGGTGGGTTTCCCCATGCACTTAGACCTGTAGTGGTCCATTGTGCTTCCCTCTATGATTTCTACCAGTCTCTATATCCTACCGGTATTGGTGCTTACCATCAGTCCCGCCCAGCAAGCGAGACCGGCTCTACTGGCTGAGAAGTATCTATAATGCTTCCCCCATCTACCGGAAGTATTAGTGACTGCTGTTGGGCGGGAAACGTCCGCAATTTTGGCTTAGTGACCTCCTTTGGAGATATGAGGTTCTTTTACGTGCCGTAAAGCTACGACACGGGACCCACGGCTTAAAGTCCCTCCCGGAGGACTTGTTCCCTGAACTTTTTCGCCCTTAAAAATTCGACGACCTCCGCCGGGTATTTGAACCCGCGTACTACGAGTCATGAGGTGGGAACGTTACCTCTAGACTACGGAGGCCGCTTCCAGAACCCTAAGATATAATAATATTGTGGCAAATTTGATCAAAGCAAGAACCATGGAGCTAGAGACAGCCATTGTTGACTCCGAAACAATAGTCGTTCCTAGGCAATGACCGCGAAACAAACAACGGAACGACGTCTGTTGTTAGGCAACGGATTCTTAATAGACACAAATAGATGGCAGCTGCTAGAAAACGGTTCGGTAAGCACGTTCCCGCGCCAAAGGATACGAGAATGAAGGGTGTTGTCTGTGCAGGCCCTACTGAGGTGTTATAAGGGAGGCAACTGAGGCAAGCAAGTCAGTCTTGTATGGAAGTCTGTGAAGAAAAGAGTCAGTTGGAAGGGGGAAGCCATTTCAGTGAGGACCTGAGCGCTGAAGTTGAATATTCTCCACTGTCATAAGCCGTTACCAGGGAACGGCTGATGAAGACATAGCAGGATGGAAAAGACTTAGTGTGTGCTGTGGAGATTAGCGATGATGCTGTAATTATTTGTAGTTCCAAGTTGTGTGTATAGATGGTCAGTAAATCCAATATCCAATCCAAAACCCTGTGGATAGTTCCACTCAGACACTTCATAGTATTATATAATTATATAAAAATAATATTGATAACATTATTATATTATATAGCATTATGACGAAGAATACAATCGAAAATTTTGTAGGCTCTGTCCTCAACACACAAAATGTTTAACGACCGTAGGGAGGATAGATTAATAACGGAATAGTTAAACCAATGTATGGAGTTATTTATTCGTTTGGCAGGCGACATAAATTCAGAAGGCAAGACTTACAGAGAGATCATGTGATCTGTGAGTGTTCTGTACGTGTGTGAGGATACTTATTGGATTCATCTGGTTCATGATGGAGTCTAGCGAAGTGCTCCTGTGAATGCAGAAGCCAAGTAGTGAAATTTCAGGTTCCAAAAAAGGCAGGTGAGCTGAGCGACTGTTAGATTCAATAGAATTTTGCTTGATGGAGTTCATTAATTATAAAATATCTACATAATTAATGTTCTTAATTAATTCATTTATTAATTTCAGTTAGTTAAAGTATAGATCCATGTATTCATAACCTCAACAATATATGGAGGTGAATGGTTAGCTCCACGCTCCGGTCGCTTTCTTTCTTGGAAAAGAAGGCCCCCCTTGTTCCCATTGATTAGAAAGCTGGGTGAGCCCCAGAGTCCATCCACACGCTGTAGAGAAGAGAAAGATCTCTATACCCTGCAGAAAATCGAACCCCAGTCCCTCTGCCATCAAGCCGTTAGACACCCCGGCTTCCATAGTTAAATAAACGACCTTGTATATATCGTGGTAATATTGGTTTAACGTGGTTGGATTATTATGCGAGGATTCTTTAGTTCAGAATAAAAATTCAAGTTCGGATCATACGAGATTATATTTTAACGAACTCGCGACAACATTTAGCAGTCGATAGAAGTTTAAATGTTACGGCGAGGGTGTTAGATTATGAATCTGACTTCAGTGATTTTATATTTGGCAAATATTTTTGAATTGAAACAAACAGTACGAGTGTTAAAATGTTCTTAAACATAATTACTCGTAGTTAGTTGAATGAATAGCGCTATTACATTGGCCTTCCGTTGGAAGAGTTTTAAACATAGTTCTTTGTTTGTGCGTCTTTTATGCATCCTGTTTGCATAATGCCCCCGTAATCTCGGTTCTCTACGAGCCTCTAGTGGGAAAGGATATTAAATTAATAACTGTGTTAGTTTTTATTTTTTGAGCTCGTAGTCCGCAATCCGACATAAAAGTAATGACTCTGCTGAACAAGAGAGGAATTCTAATTGGCAGAGGATGGCCGTTTTAACATTTTCGCTCTAGCAATTAAGGAATACCGAAATATTTAATTACTGTATATACAACTAAAAAGCAAGGTACAGTCTGTACTAAAAGCATTAGACACTCTTTCCTTTTGGAAAAAACTATTTCGCAAACTATCCCGCTTAACACTACTGAGGGTTTCAGCAAAAAGAAAACTAAACTAAAAATTAATTTCAAT